AAGCCGCGCCCGCGCCCGCCCCCTCGGGGCCAAACTCCGGGCGCCCCGCCGCGCGCGGGCTTCCAGCTGCTGCACATCTGCACAGAGGATGGGCGCGCGCCTCGCTCTGGCAGTCCCTCTCACTCCCTCCCCCGCTCTCTAGTCTTTCGGGCAGCCGGGCAATTTGTCCTCTAATTGTGATCCCTCCCCATAAACCTGCGCCCGAGCCTTTCAACTCCAGAGTATTAGCAAACCAATGGCCCTAGGCGCAGCTCTCGCGGCCCCGCAGCAGGGGCGCCGGGCCGGCCCCCTCTCCAGAGTTAGGGCCGCAATAAAGGGGCCCACGAGCCGTCGCCGTCTGCACCCTGGCACCTGCATCTCCTAGTGCCTCCACTCCTCTCCAGCCCTTGCCCTGAGATCCCGGCTACACTGGGTGGGGCTGCTCATGTGGGTGGCTTAGTGTTTCTTAAACAGTGGAAAATTGACCGCAAAATGCGCTAATTCGCAATGTTCTGCTTTGGCTGCCGGAGGCGAGGCCGGCCCTGGCGCCTCGGGCGGAATTCGCAGCCATCAAGCTCCGCCCCCACCCGCTCGAAGGGCCTCCGCCTCTGCTGCTCCCCACCCCACCCCGGCACTGCCCTCTGCGCCCCCTCCTGCCTCGGCACATCCTCGGCTGGAGTCCTCCCCACCTAGGCCTATCGCCCCCCCTTTCCTGGGTTCCCTGCTGTGCCCCCCACCCCCGTCCCCCAGACCTCGCACGGCTCTCTTACCGCAAACAGCCCCCTTGGCCCGTTCCTTGCCTTAAGTTGGCTGAGGGTCGCACGGGACTCAAGGCTGAAAGGGATCTCCGTGCAAATTCCATCTCACCTTTTTCTTGTGCTCAGAAACCGCTTCCTCCCCACCCCACGCCTACCCTACCCCCGCCACCCCTTACCCCCAATTCGGGCTCCATCTTCTGGGCAGCCAGTTCCCCCGCTAAGTCAAAGGCAGAGTTTTGCGTTTGGCAAGTTCATTGGGAAAGCTAGATGAGTCTTCATCGCGCTCCTTCTCGGAGACCCAGGCTGGGGTCCCCGGGGTCCACTCCCTCCCCTAATCCGTTGGCAGGTTTTGCGCCTGGGCGTCCTACACACACTGAGGCAGGCCGGGCTCCGAGGACGCATGCTGAGGCAGGGGGAGGCGTTTTCCGAGGTGGGGAGTGCGCAGCGGGTTCTCGTCGTCCTCTGAGGGCCAGCGGGACGCGGTGCTCTCCGCCTGCCGACAAGGGCATGAACCAACTTAGAAACTGGGCTTATGCGAATCAGGATGTAGGCCACAGACTCCCTTTCCATCTTTAGCCTCTGGGATTCCCAGGGGGCTTGGAAAGGAGCACAAGTCCAGGCAGAGCGTTGGGGGGACAGAGGCTGCCCTCTGTTCATTCGGAATAATTCCTTCTATAAATCAGGAGAGCTCTGGAGACTACTCAAAACCCATTGCTTTCTCACGCTGGGGAATTTAAGGTCAAAAGTTACCTGTGCCTTTGTCTTCTCTTCCTCCATTTAGTTTTCTTGACTTTGGCAAAAGAAAGAACGTTCCAGATGCAGCCTCTCAGCCCTGGGTGGGAACCCCTTCCTTCCCGCAGCCCCAGACATTTAAAGCTACACTAACTGTTAAGTGCTTCAAAGGCCACTGCCAGTGCAGTGACTGGAGGGAGAAATGTGTATCCCCCTGCACAGATGCATTTCCAAATGGAATGAAGTGATCGCTCCATGTAATTAACTATTGGGACACAGCAAAAGCACTGAAATGACTCAGCCAATTGTCTCCAGATGGAGCTGGAGAGGCAGTGATTGTTTAACTCTCTTTAGCTGTGTTAGGACTCCGAATAGCCCGGCAGCCAAGGGCCCTCCAGGGGACAAAGCCTGGGACTCCCGTGAGTGCATCAACACTGAACCGGGCTGGCCCAGCACAGAGAAAGTGAATTCCGGGAGACCCTCATTGTCCCAGCCTTTTGTGCTTCTCCCCAGCTGGCTCTAATCTTTAAATATTTACCCGGCCCCTTTGTGCACATATGACTTATGCACTTCAGGCTGATATGCTCATAAATTATGCGTCATTTACCAGACTAGAGAGGGGGGCTCTCATGCCTGGAGCTGGGAATGGCCGGGGGGGGGAAGGTGGGCTTTTAGAGGACTAGAGCAAGCTGCAGCCACACTGGGCAGGTACCTCCTAGCCTCTACGTGGGAAGTGGACGGGGCACAGACCTGTGAGTGACAAGGAGTCCCAGGAGGGCGCTCTAACAATGCCCGACTGGAGGCCCACCTGCGGGGAGGAGGGAGAGGCAGAGTTCCTGAACTGTTTCCTATTTGGGGTCAGGCTAGGACAGGGGCAGACTGTTCATCCCGGAAGCTGGTGTGCGTTGAGGTGTTTGGTTAATACCCCAGCCTTACACCTGCCTCCCACTTGCTCTGAGCATCCCGCCTTCCTACATTTCCTCTTGCTCAGTAAAGAAACCCTGTTCCAGAAAAGGGAGTCTAATTTCATCTCAGCCTGCAGTTTAACTTGGAAAAGTTAACATCATTCTGAGGGCTCTTAAACAGGTGGGATCCCCCCTTGGGCCCAGGATGGAAAGCCACCTCAGCTGGTGGGTGGATGGCTGGATGGGGGCAGGGAGGCCCTAGAGAGGGATCTTCCTGCATGAGAAAGGGACCCCTTTGTGCTTGCCTCACAGCTCCTAGAACAAAACACATTCAAATGCTTATTTGGGGGGGGGTACAAAAAAGAAGACAAGCAAGGCATCCCCAGGCTGAGTTATTTTTCTTTCTTTCTTTCTTTCTTTCTTTCTTTCTTTCTTTCTTTCTTTCTTTCTTTCTTTCTTTCTTTCTTTCTTTTTGGTGTAAGTTCGTTGTTCCTTTAGCCTGGGGGATGACAAGCTAGGGTGACACTGGAGAACTGGTGCAGAGTGGATTTGTTTGATCAGATTGCTTTCCTCTCTGGTGGGAAAGCAGGTCTCTGTGTTTGTCTTTCAGTCTGTGTGAAGTACTGTTTTTCTGTGCGCCTGTCCGGATCTCTGT